AGAACCGGACACTCAGCCTCAACCGCGGCGACAGCTTGATCCGCCAGAAGCGCCGCCGCCTCGCGGGTCCGTCGCCGCCGTCGGAGGCCAGCCGGACCACGCGGACCTTCCGTTTCCGGCCGCCGGTCAGCCGCTCGTAGCCTTTCCGCCGCCAGTATCCTCTGATTCCCCTGTACACGGCGGTGGAGATCCCCTCCATTTTTTTATTTGTGTCTATTTTCCCGTGGATTGAATTTGTGTATTTTTTAACTGGTTTAAAAAAAAAATGGTATCTCTGCACTAGTGGTGGTGTTGTATATTGGGGAGAAATGGGATTTTCATGTTGGGTGAGAAAACGAAGTGGGAGTTTGGAGGTGAGAGAGAGTATGATATATATATGAGAGTGAGACAACTAATCGGTTCGATGGATATATTTTTTTAACAAAAAATATGCTTGATTTTTCGAATATCATAATTTTAAAATATAATTTAAATAAACATATAACAATTCACAACATGATTACGTACTTTTTTTTTTTTGTTCGAAAATTATAACAAGTTACGCATCGATCTAACTGTTAGACTGTTTCGTCCTAAAATTTGTGTAAGACAGAGTGTAGCACATCTAATCACTAGACAATCATAAATTTCTTGCAAAAAAATAAATAAATTATATTATACTTGATATTAAAATGTGATATTTTGAATATTAAATTAAAAAATATATATATATGTATTGAAATACTATGAATGTCCAACTAATATAACAAATACATATCAATATATTATTAATTGGGTGGGAAGGTGGTGAGTAATGAATGCAGGGGTGTTCTTTGAGCCTCTTTTTATTAACTTTCTTATTTGTTTGGTGGAGGATAAATTGGTGGGAAATGATAAATGAATGCACAAAATAATGCTATATCTCGTTACGGTATCATCTCGTCAGATATTTTAACCATTGAATTCACATGTAGTTAGATAATATAGATGATCCAACGGTTAAAACAAACGACCGGATGGTACTATAACGGGACCGTAACATTTCCAAAACTAATATCCCAACTCTTTTTCCCTTTGTCTTCTATATATTTTATTTTTGTTGTTTTATTGGATATAAAAAGTGGTGGAATATTTTTCCAAAGGCATAATTAGGAAATGGTTGACATTTGACACAAAGTTTCTGCTCCTTTTTGGTCCTTTTCCATTTCTTGGATTCATTATAATTGACTGAAAAAAAAATGGATTTTTTTTTTCATTTAATATTTAAATGAAAAAAAAAAGTTGAATCCAGTCTATAGTTCACTTTCACATTAATTTTCCCCAAATTTCATGTAGCACTAGTTAATGCATGTGCTGAAATTTGATTCACACTTTGTCATAGACATTTGACTTTAATGATAAAGATGGTGTTTACAATTTGCCATCAAATATTTGTTAACACAGCAAAAACTGTTGCCAACTTCATCCTACATAAAGGTAGTTAAGTTAGGCTATTTGATTAGCTAAATAAGTTTGCTTATTGTTTATTTTAGTTAGCCTATAAACTTTTTGTATTCAAATAAGTTTTGCTTGGTGTGACGAACTTTTTTAAAAAGTTCGAGCTTATCTCATATGTTTTTGTTGGGCAGTTTTTCAAATAAGTTCGTTGAAATTTGTATTTCGACTATCTTATCAGCTAATTTTACCAAACACATTTATCATATAAGTCAATTTTTCAATGATAAGTCATAAACAATAAACTCGAAAATTACTTATTAGCTATCAGCTAGCTTATCAAACACTTTTATTATATAAGTCAACTTTTCAGTAATAAGTCATATGATTTAAGATCGAAAATCACGTATAGACTATATGCTAACTTATCAGCTATCAGGTAACTTAATTTTTAGCTACATATAGTCCAATATAATATTATATATTATATATATACATTTAGTAGTATTTGGATTTTAGAGGCTACAAATATATATGGTGATAATTGTCTCCATATTAGTTGGAAAGATCACACACGCAAAGGAAGTTGTTCCTATTATATATGGTACACGTACAAGATGCAGCAACAAACTCTGATTCCGAGTATATAAATATATAAATACAGCTTTTTTTGAGGACCCAATGGACAATTTAATAAGAATTGTTGTTGTGTAGTGAGGCAATAAATTATGGCATTTTGGGAATCTTTGGGGCAAAAATTATAATAACCATACAGTGGTCCACAATTAATTTCATCGATACACACAGTTTTTTTTTTTTTGATAAGATGCACTGCTTCATTGAGTTCATCAGTAGCTACTTATATTCATTTTCTCATTTATTGCATATCATGCTTTGCTAAATACCTCTACATAAAAATGAAAATTAACCAAATATGTGATTAACTAGATTACATAATGTAAGAATTTAGAGGTCTAAACCAGTCGAGCTTGAGCTAGCCTTTAAAGAGTCGATGATTCGTTAATTAAATAAGCTTTCGAAAGCTCGAAAACAAGCCACAAACGACTTCTTTTGTTTAACAAATCTATATACAAATAGGATATAGGCGACTCGATTTTTTCAACTATTATGGTTGTTTTTTTTTAAATAAATAAAATAAAATGGTATTTAGGATAAAGATTGTAAAACTTGAAAATTAAAAAATTTATTTATACAAATAAAGAGTAACATATTTTAATCCAATACTATATTGTGCCCATCACAAAAGTGGTTAATTTAGCTCTCTAGCATTAGGGTTGTCAACAATACTATTTAAAAGTGTGCTTCATAGGGCAGGCATGATATTTGAACTATTCAATTTAGACATCCCTCCCTATCCATTAATTCAAAACGTGGTGAGCCTAGGTGGCAGATTCTCACGTTTCGGATGCTGACATGACAAAAATCTATGCTTCGTGATGTTGTTTTTATATTATTTTTGCTATGAAGTTAAGTTTGGTATTAGACATAAAGAGCTTTACACATATATTCATTAACTCAACACCCATGTTGTACATGTGTATTAGTAATAGTTCCTTTTATTTCAACAATATAAAAACATGCTTGGCATAATTAGTTTTGCCATT